GGGGGGGGGGGGGGGGGGGGGGGGGGGGGGGGGGGGGGGGGGGGTTACGGGGGCATGCGATCGGCACCGTATTTTTATATGTTGTTTTGGATATGGTATCTTTTTCATGACGTTTTCTTTCGTTGTCAGCTTGACCCGTTGTGCTCCAGCTGCGTTCCGTGGTGTCCCTTTTTGTGTCGCTTCTCTGGGCTTTCCCGGTTTCTGGAATGCTAATGCTCCGCCGAATAGAATTCGAGTTGTCGTGCTTTCTTATCTTCTCTTCGGGCGTCGCGCGTTTCAACCTCTGACTCTGAACCTCCTGCCGTTTCCTACGCCTTTTCTGTCTTTTTTTTTTTCAAAACCGCGCCACCAGCGTCATGCTTCCCCTTGACACCGTGTTGACTCGGGTCGTGACCCAAAGAGCCCAGCCCGGCTTCGTACCGTACAAGGGTGCGTTCAGAACGCTGGGCCGCATCGTCAAAGAGGAAGGCCTCGGCGCCATGTACAGCTCCCTCCCTGCGAAACTCGTCTCGGTCGTCCCCGCAATAGGGATTCAGGTTCGTGCGAGTCTTAATAGTGCAGCTGCCCAGGTGTCTACCACAACTTTGTACGAATCTGGCAAGCGTTCAAGGTTGCCGCGTTCATCGCATTCAGAATGGATGGTATCCCGATTTCCCTGCACCCTGCGACGAACGATTGTCTCCGCCCCACAAGCCTTGCAACGGGTTTATGAGCTCTTCGTTCCGAGCAACGCAGTCGGGACCAACCATTTTCTCAGTTCACGGTTGCACTTCGTGGCATCCAACAGAGTGTGTCGCTGAGTGCCTGGTGGATGTACTGGAACTCCTCTCTTCCGCACACCGACGACTGTATGCCGGCCTTACGATTCCTCCACGAGCCGCACCTCTGCAAGGGCAACAAGCTCAGTTTCTTTTCTGACGAAAGGCCGACGGATGAGTTCTTTCCCCGCTGGTTCCACGTGCACATTCACACGTAAACACGTACAGTTCTCTTCAGTTGTTGCTACAATGTTTTTGGTTTAATCCGTAGAGTAGGGTAGCGTCCCCCGTGACGCCCCCTCATGGGCTCCCACATTATGGCCTTAAGAGACATATTGTGTTTTCAACAGCACTGAGACTGACGTCTTTTCACTGGTCAGCCGGTTGGCGCATGGTGCTAATATTAAAAACACACGCTGTGCACACACCTGCGAGCAGTTCGGGATCTACGACTACTTCCGCAAGCAGCTGATTAGCCGTAAGGACGAGGACGGGGACGACGGGCTGCTCCCTCGAGACGGCCTGCTGCCCCCGTCGGTGAGACGGAGGCTGGGGCTTGGCAACGACGGCCGGGGCGGAGACGACTCCGACGACGACTTCGCGAGGAGGATGTACCTCGCTGAGGAGGAGCTGCTCTAATAATGACTGCTGCGTCGGCAACAAGGTGGACAAAAACATAGACAGTGTTGACGGTTGTCCGCAGAGCAATGGGGTGGCCTTGAACGGATTCTGCCGATGCCATGACGAAGTTGATGCAAGTCCACTCCCAGCGCGGTTTGGCTGTTGCCTTGCGCATGGCCGTGCAGGACCTGCCGACAGGTGTCCAAATCAGCCAGCGGCTACTCTTAATGTAGTTTTGGCGATGATGACTCGGAGGAGGGATTGGGGTCTGCAATATTTGCGGTGCAAAGTGTACTTCGGCGTCTCCATCGTACGGTAGGTTCAGCCAGAGCCTACTCTGTGATGTAGATTTGGTTATAGATGAGTCGGAGGAGGGAGTGGTTGGGTTCCTGCCATTTTTTCCGCGTCACGTGGACTTCGGGTTATTATAGGTCCTCGCATGCGCCACTTTGAATGCTCTTCGACTTGTGCGAAGTAGGGTAATGTCATGCACGCCGTACTGCGTGACCTCGCGTCCCTCCAATAACGGTCTGAGCACGCCGGGTTTTCGTCGAATCAGCATATCTCAGCACAAGCGTGAAGCGCCGTGACATGTCCGGCGAGTCGCCTGAATGGGACAAGTTGCATCTTCCTACCAAGGATGTGCGGAGTAGACGGAAAACAAGGCGTTTTACATTTGTATCGTCAGGTGTTCCCGTGCATGAGCAGGATTTTCGCACCGAGATGTATTGCTGAGGTAGGTTCATCCGAATGTGTCGGCTTACTTACACGATTAGGGCACGGTCTACGGTCGGTTCTGGTTGTTTGGAACGATCCGATGTGATCAGCACGTTTTTTATGGTTCTGGTTATTTGGTGCACATGATCTGCGTGTCTTTTTCCGGTTTTGGTTGTTTGATACGGCGGCACATGATTTGCGCGTTTGTTTCTGTGCTGAAGATCGCTGCGTGTTGTTCGAAAACCTAGGCACTCTTCAACCCGATTTCTTTGTTCGTGACTCTCGTCGCGTTTTCGTCGGAAAAGTAGGCTAGCTTGTGGTTTTTTTCGTGAGGCGCTTTTACTTCATGTCCACCGATAACATGATGGCAAAATGGGCATATTGAGGTGGTGTGCATTCATTCCAGGGGGCGTAAGAGGTGCGGTAGCATTAGTCTCATGTTGGTATGATGAATCTCGCGTCAATCCGTGCGTGCGTGCTTGCGTGCGTTGGTTCGTTGTGGTATGTAGTGTTGATGGTCTTCACCCTTTTGGAGGATAAGTTTTACTCTATAGGAGGACCTTTACTCGGCTGTACGACAGGGACCTAAAACCGTGAAGTTTTTAGTAGCGAGAATATATGTCAAGGAACGGTCTGGTGTGTGACCAACTTTTGCCTCGTGTCAGTTTTTAGGCCACTGTTCTAGGAATGGTGGCGTTTGTCATACGTTGGTTATGCGGCAGCCTGCTCACTCAACAACTTTTGTTCTCTTGATATCGTCGCTGTAAATTAATCGTTAGTTTCGCGCTGACAGCTTCAATCGTCGACAAATCGGTTGCCTTGTCCCAATACTTGATGCACATTTCTGTCCTTCGTGTACTAAGTTCGTGCCCGATCCTCGTCTTGCTGTACGGCACAAGCCCATACTTCTGGAGAAGAAAAAGTATTTGGCCTTGACAAAGAATCAACATTTCTTTTGAGTCTTGATCATCTTCACCGGCGAGTGCCGGGAGGGGGTTGTTTTGGCGAGCTAATCATTCATTCTTTCCTGGCTCAATGTCAACCAATTATTTCCCCTGAAAAGGGATCTACACTCGGGAATGAACGATATTTTCTTCGACATTGGCGACTTTCCAAGGTGAAATGTTCGCAGGCGCTCTCCGTCTCTCCCGCGCGGCTGCGTTGGAGGGGGCTTCGGTTCAGCCTCTCTCTGGGCACTACGCTGGACCACGAAAATCACATGTTGAGCAGCCGATGTCGCAAGGACGCTCGCTGACTGGCTTTGTTAGACCCGTTCACTCGAGGAATCCGTCATGTGACTTGATTGACCGTATTCCACACCTTCGCTTTTGGCGTCAAGGATACTGGTTGGATATCCGGTTGAGTGTTCGTCTTTGTTTCTCCCAACTTTGAACAGTTCCAACAGGAGAGAAAGCTGTACAAAGTTGTGAAAGCACCTCCTGGACCCGACCCTAACAAGAACTGTTGACAGCTCTTCTATGACTCGACAATCGGAGTACCCGGCCTAGTCCCAATGGTTCCCACGTACGAGGGTAAATTCTTTGGGTGGAGTACAAAACAAGGAGGATCCGTTCACAACGTATCCATCCGTCATCGGACGCCTGTACCGTAATTGGTACCCCTTCGCAGCTGATGTTCGTTGGGTGGTGTGTGGACAGTTCCACGACCTTATCGTATGAGGAACAAGACAGCACTTCGAACCAACATCGGCGGTCCGTCCATGGATTTTGCCCGGACGATATTTTTTGGCTCTCGGAGACGACTTGGCTTCGCATGGAAAGCCAGGCTCGAAAAAACGTCCTCGCTCCTCTTTTATGCTTATCCTACCGTAGAGCAACAGTGAGTCATTTCTGTGCTGCTGGTTTGTCATTATCATGCACACCACGATCATCGGACAGTGCACTTCGCATCGCGGTGAACCAGGAACGTAGCACATGATCTTGTTGCAGACCAGGGTCGCACAGTACCAAGGCGTGACAAGGAGAATAGAACACTTCGCGGGTGACAATAATACAGTAAGTGCGTTTCGCGTCCTTCAATCCACAAGGAAACTCTTACCCCGCGCGTGTGCTTTGTCATTTTCGGCAGATCCCCCGACGGATGTGCCTCTTGATTATCTCCAGGGTGATCAATCTTCGCAAAGCTTACCCATCTCCAAGGGAGAACATGTTGTTTGAGATTTTGAGTACTTTCACAAACAAACACGCGATGTATGTGGCCTTGCATTCGATCCGCGCACAAATACGACACGTCCGATCAATGCCAACGTTTCAACTATGGAGTGGCCGTGAGGATGGTACGACAAGAAAAAAAAATGACCCCGAAAAACAGAAAAAATGGAGTGAAGTCTAGCTATTTCACAATATATCCTAGAAGGAACAGGGATTTGCGCCCACTCGACTAGACTACTGACCTCGAATCCTAACACTTTTTGTCGCGCATTGGAATGTCCCACATCAAGCAACGATGTTCAAGACCTACACACGGGTCGGGTAAGCAACCCAACAGGGAAGGGGAAGTTGAGCCTACGACAGCTCCAGCTCAAGCTCTGTATGACGAAAACGATTCGCTAGTGTAGTATCGTATCCCCTACAAGCACTTCAAGGCGGTGTTACTGCACCGCTCCGACGTCGCGAATCGTGCTCATATTTGGGTTTACACCAACCAACGAGCTCCACCCTCCGCAGACATCCCGGAAGTATGAGAGGGGCTTGCGGATAAAAAGCAAGATTACATCCATACATACACGGTCACATGGAGCACACAGGGTTTTTATGCTCTGTTTCTACAGCATGTTCTGTCCCGGACAGGATACGTGTCTATCTGCGTACCGTGACCGCCGCGACCCACCCCCATACCCTCACCCACGGCCAACGGGGGGCCTGGTGGCCGACATTTGGGCGAGAACTGCAGCTACGTTCATTCTCCGAGTACGGAACAGAGAGAGGGTGCTGGAAGAACAAGACCGCTCGACCAATCAGAGGGCGTAAAAGCCTTAGGTAGGAACAGTCGTAACAAACGAAACGAATTCTACTGGACATGTCTAACGTCAGCTCACACGTGCGTCCAGAAAAACACACAACCAACACGTAAAAAAAACTGACGTGTACCAGCTGACGCGCGAGAAAAACACCCAACTCGCGCGCTAAAAAGCTGACGTCCAAAGCAAAATGGACCAACACACGCACAGGTCAGCCGGTTAGCGCGGTTGATGTTGTGATAACAAACACACGCACACACACGAGATGATAACGATACACACACACGCGCACACGTGCACCGAACCCTCGCGAACAAATGCCCGAGCGTAACGGGCGTGCCTTCGGGGACAATTGCCCACTACAGCCCTCGATGACGCTGGACCCACACGCACTCCCACCCCCCTGTAACCTTTACGTCATATACGACAGAGTAAACCTTTAACTTGGATTCTCCTCGTCTATAACCCGAAACCTTTGTATTGTTTGTGTCGTCTCGAAACCCATCGCTCGCAGCTTTAACCTATGGTACGGCCATGCCTCTCCAACTGAAGAGCTCCGACCCGGGGCCGCAGAATAGATTCCGTTGCGGCACATGACATCAATCTTTTAACATCGATGAGAAGGTTTCCGTGTACATACACTAGAGGTCCCTGTTTAGTGCCGGCATGTGCCCAGAAAATCTACCGGCACATGTTCCGGACCGTCACTATTCAAAGTGTTGAAAATGACTTAGAAATTCAGAGTGTGCCCGCCGAAAACACCGGTACTATACCCGGCACCGTCACCATTCAACCGGCACAAAAGAGGAACTCATCACAGAACGATAGGCGCTTTCCTGAGCAAGAAGACGTATGGCCAGAGGGAAGCCCTCGTCACTTCGACGGCACTCGAACGAACGTACGCACCATAAACTTTTCGACGTCACCCATAAAGGCCACCCCAAGGAGTAAAACTAACCCTCCTTTACACCCATGTGCCGCAAACTTTGAAACGGGACCTTCTTTTTCCTGAAGAAGAGACAGACACGCCCAAGCTCTGCTCTCCCTAGATGAGGTAGTCCATTTCGGACATGACCCCGGAATCCTGACAAGCGTCCCACACGATCTCCGCCATGTCCTCGGGCATTTGGCTCCGCCACAGGTCCGCCATGGCCGAGGAGTGCCTGCGCGTACCGTACGGGTTATTTGCCGCCTCCTGGTTGTTCTCGGCGCACTTCTCCCCGCTCTGCTCACCCTGACCAACGCCTTCCTTGGATTGCACGTGGGCGTCCACTCTAATCACCGTTTCCAGCCGCCGTCTCGCGTCAAGCCACCCGAGGCCTTCTTCCCCAGGAGTCTCGTCGTCGATTGTTCCCAGCATGATCGAGTCCAGGGCGGCCAAGCGGCGCGTTGGGTTGTCGCTTTCATTGCAGGCGGGCATCCTCGTGTTGTAATTTATCCAGCCCATTACGGTGGCGGGAACCTCCCCGAGGCCGAACCGGCAGTACACAAGCTCCGCGACGACCTTCGGGAGCGTGGTGAAGTCTTCGTAACGGAGACGGAGATACTTGCTGCGGGCGCCAAGAAAAATGACATAATTTGGTGTTTTTGTTTGTCCAGCGTACACAGCAAGTAACGAATCCCGATCAGACGGAGTCGTCGAAGGCAGGTATGTGTATATTCTGCGCGAGTTCCGAAGGACGTGAGCGAAACTCGATGGTCTAGAATAACAAACCAGACCAGAATTGTGTATGCATACATAGAATTCAAACGAAACGAGTTTTCAGCTGCGTTCCTGCTGACACGACCAAGCAAGATAGAAATACAGCAAATTCCACTCGATACACAGAAGCTGCCTGTGGGAGGTTCTGGGCCAAGCACATTGAACTCTCACAGCCTCGACGCGGTCCGTGATCAAAAGGCAATCTGGTGCCATGTACATACGGAATGCACTTTCTTCACCACCAGCTTCCGGAGCGTTCCCTGCCAGGCCTACCTTTCTGGTCCTAGCTGTTGAAAGGAGTCCAACTGCTTCCGGTAACTATTGCAGACGCTGCGGTGTTCATCCAAAGGAAGGGGGGGTTGCAACAAAATGTGGTGAGGCACTGCAGATTGTCGGGAGCTCCTGGCATTTCTGGCATGCTGAATACGAACCAAGTTCTTGTTCGAATGCACATATATTCTCCCATCTCTCCCGAATAATTGTCACAATCACCTGTCTCCTTAGGGTTGGGGTTAAGGTTACGACGTTGCCGCAGCAGTTTTCACCAGATCATATGCATCCATCGACTGCATCGACTGGCGGAGGTACCCCTCACAGGTTGGAGTTCATAGGAAAAAATATCAGAACCGCCGACAGTAGCATCTCTCCATCACCCACAATGTCGCAAAAAACGGGCGGGCAAGTTTCAAAGTCAGGACGTCCAAGGCTGGAGGGTCGCTTCATGCGATGTCTTCTTGATACCGCGATTCTACTGGGATTACCGCACGAGGCGGAGAGATGGCAACCCGCCTGAACCGATTTTCAAAGCCGGATTGCTCCACAACCAAGCTTGTAGATACCAACGTCAAATATGGTGGGTTTGCAAGCATCTCGTCGAGGGCTTTCCGCGGACGTGTGGAGCCCTATCCGTACCCAGTTGGCTGTGGAGCAATCGAGCTTTGAAAGACGGTCTAGGGGGGGGTGCCATCTCTCCGCCACTTCGGTAGGTGTCGGACTCTTGAGACCATCTCGCGGGTAGCTCCAGGCGGGCTTTATCAAGGTGCTTCTGCAACATGGTGTAGTCCCACACGATTCGGCCAAATCGCTGGCGTGGATGGGGGCTCTCAACGGCTCTCGGGGAACGAAACTACGGTATATTGTAGTACGCTAGCTCAACCGTGCAACCCTCCATTTGTAAGATGCTTCTACTCCGTTTCGTCGCTTGTTCCAGCAGCTCCAGTACGTCGCAAGCCACGCGCAGGACTGACACTTTAAATGGTCATATATGCTGGCATTCAAAGCAGGGAGCCACAGGGCAACTGAACTCACACTGCTCCGAGGGTTTGCGCGGTGTTCCTCGCCACATGTGCCGGATCAACGTCGCCGCCGTTTCCCCCGATCTTACTCGGGTTGTTCCATAAACCCATCTGAGAGTTGACGACGCCGCGGGGGTCCCGGACCAGCAGAAGAACGTGCAGGCCCGATGTATCGTAGTCTTGGCCGTTCAATCCGTCGTACAGGCGAATGCTCTTGACAACTACAGCCCTGTAGGGGTGTTGGGGTGGGACGCGGGGGTGCATAGAGGTTTACGTTCAACAACTGGGCGATCAATCCATGGTTGCCAGCGATGTTGTTCGTAGCTGTGTCAATATCTGTTGTGCGTGGCCCATCACCCAGTATAATCTAAAAAGCAGTACCCGCCGTGAGGACTTCAAGCGATGCACAAGTCGAAAACAGGGCGGTTTCTGTCCCTTGTCTCTGCCTCTATCTCTCGCAAGAACATCTCCCCGCCTTCCCAAACCCTTCATGTGCGGAAAGCTTAACCATCACAAAAGCGTCCGCCGGATATTCTCGGTGACACGCACTCCTTGCTCGGCACAGGACACATCGAACGGGAAGCGCTTGTTTTGTCGTATCGCGCGAAACGCCGCCGCGCCCTTTCCTTCACCTGTACTCTCTTGCCACCCCCTACCTACTGCTCTTGCAAGCCTCCATGATCGTCTCGTGTGCAACATGAAGCGCCTCTTGGCGTTTCGCAACCTCCGTGCCACCGTCGCGTGTCGCCCTCGTCGGCTCCTCGACCGCCGGCGAGGAGGCTTCCGCGGCCGCCCGGTCTGCCGAAATCCCGTCCGTGTCTTGCAGGGTGAACTCGCACCGGAGGAGCCTGCAAACGGGCGTGTCAATTTTTCACGGCGCCGGAGAGGCAGGGTTGATGCGTTGGCGGCGCGTTGTTGGCGGACCGATGAAGGTTTCTTGTTCTTTTTGTCTACATTAAAGATGAAAGACATTTTTCGCTCAAAAAACACCGCCGCGTTGCTAGTGGTCTTCCGAACTAAGGCAGCCATGCTGCCGATGCCACGCTTGTGTGTGTGTGTGTGTTTGTATGTGTTCACTTGCAAGCCAGCATGCGGTAAATAAGTTTCATCAGGGGACAATACTGATTCTATGTTGACCTGTATGCCTTCCGACAACCAAACTTCCTCAAAGGGCACGAAGGGAAGTGAAAACGGGGAATACCAAAATCGCAATTTTTTATCTTCCGTTGACCATAATTGCAAAAATAAACTCCGGTGGGGTAGACGACAAGGTAAGACAACTATGTTCCCGGTATTTCAGGCATGTCGGGCAGAGGGTGTCCTTCTTTCGCCTATCGGTCGAGTTGTTGCTGCCATATGTCTATTCCCCGACCACCGCCGTCGGCGTTTTTGACGTGGCGGGCGGTTGCGGCTTAATAGCGGGACAATACAGGCGGCGGGCGGGTCAACACACTTGTGTCGCATCGCAACACGAAATCTGTCTCGCGCCTGCATGTCAAACATCGCAGAGGGGCCATTTTGTTTTCGGCGATCGCGCACGCAAGGTTGGTACGCGACACCGGGCGGGATTGATAGCAAAAAAACGGCATCGAAAATGACAAACAAGAGCGAAAGCAAGAGTGAATAAATGATGAAAATCTTGTTGAAATGACTGACTCCAAGTTCTCACGTCGGCCTAAATTACTGCAGTGCAATGCAACACGCCATCACATACTGTACGTTGGTGCGGATGAACGGCTTTATGTTACCTTCGAACGAGAGCGAAGCATTCCGGCCCGCCTACGCTTGAGGTTTGATGGAGGCCTCCCAAAACCCCATGCCCTCTTTGCCTGCACGGCTCGTAGAAGTACAGGTGGTTCTTGTGGAGGAAAGAGTGTGAGCACGTCAGGGGCGCAGCAGGTTGGGAGGATGTTTGTGTGTGAGTGCACACAGGCAAACACTTCTACCTGTTTTCTACATGCATATTATCTGCACATGAAACCAACGCGATGCCGTTATGCATAACGCTTCCAGCAGTGCCGTGTGCCCAAGCCCTTACTGTGTGGCCAACTTCTAATGCAATCGCATCAGGAACTAACGAAGACATGTCCCATGTGCACCACTGGGATCGTTAGCAATACGCCGCACGATGATAAAACGTGTCGATGGGACACCCGTGTGATTTCGGCATGGACTTCGTTCGACATAGTCACCACAAACAGCCGCGTGTCGGGGAACATGAATCCTCGCAAAAAGAGAAAAACGAGATAATGGTCCCTTTAGGTTACAAGCCCTCAAGACGCACTGAGACCATTTCTGTTCCTTCTGTTCTTCTTTTTGTGTATCTGATCCGGAATACAGCAGTGTGCACTACGCAAAACTGATTCGCACATAGCACGGCGAGCTATGCATACACTAAAATACCTCGTTGTGGCGGAATAATTCCCCCAGCATCGTCGAGCCGGACCTTCCCTGCGCCAAGATTAGGATTCCTTCTGGAGAGGAGGGTTCGCTCTCCACAAGCTCTCGGGCTTTCCAGGTCACGTTCGATATGTCTGCCGGCGGTCTATGGCCGTCTCGGCCGTGAAGCACGTCGTCGCCACTACCGCTGCCGCCGCGCAAGGAAGCATTCTCGCCTGCGGCCACGAGGCGGGTGATGCTCCCCAACAGCGCCGCGAACAGCAGGCAACAAGACCTCATGACCACTGTAGCGCTCGGTCGCCTGTGTCGGCTGCGCCTCGCCTGATGCCCTTGCTTGCCCCAAACCACCAGCCTTTCCTTTCCCGTGGTGGTGGGAGAGGCCTGCTGCGACGTCACCTGACGGGTTTTCGGGCACCAGTTGGTGGTTTCGTGTTTGCCTTCTTGAGCGACGTGGTATACAGTGCCTTTTTCTTTTGGTAGCAGGTGTTTGACAAATGGACCACGTGCCTTCGTAGATACAGAGGGAGGAAGAGACGTAGAGGGAGAGCGGCGCGCGCTTGATTTCAATGGTGCCCTTGAGACACGTATGCACACAGCACTACACTTTTTGTTTTGTCTGTGGTTGTTTGACAATGGATCACGCACCTTCGTAGATACATCGGGGGGAAGAGACCAAGAGACAAGGTAAATTGTTTTTTTTAACGCGGGTCCTTTCTCGATATGCCCACCACTGTGTGAACGCGTGACGCCTACACCATGTTGTTGTTCCAGTCTAGGGTCATAAGAGTCAACCTGGTGCCGTCATCATCACTTGTACACAAAATCACCTTTAGGAAAGAATACCCGGACACAGGGGTGTTTGTGTGCTCACCCTAGCCCTAAACGCACACCACGAAATGCGTTTGGCAACCTCCAGACCATCTCTGTGCTACACCCGACTGTTCTCACGAAAGAGAGGCAGCACGCCGGAAAGACATCCGACGTTGACAACAAACGGCATGAAGAAAAGCGGCAAAGTAACAGCAATGAAATGGCACACGAAGTCCCCCGGTGTATCCGTTCAGGAGGTTACAACGCACAAAACACAGCAACTCTAACGATAGAATGGATACACGCCACACATACCAAATACTCCCCCGTTCTCGTAGCGGCGAACGTGAGTTCGTCTCCCGGGCCCTCTCTGCCCGAAAAAAAGCTGACCACCCCAACACCACTTCACGCGTCTTCTCATCCCGCCGTTTACCCTTTTTCCCTTCCCCATCCCGCCCCCTCCCGGTGTTTGCCATCGGGGTTGGGTTTTCGTCGCTTGGTGATGTGAGAGCCTGGTCCGGTGAGAACCCGGCGTGCTCCGTCCCGGCTTTGTAGGGATGCGAGGTCAATGGTCTAACG